CGTGCCCCTGACCATACAACCAGTTCGTGGGTCACCACTGGACCACAGGAAAACGTCTTCAAACTTTGGCGTATACGCAGGATTAGGAAACCGGTCTAACACAATGACAAATTCACATTGGCCATTGTCAAGTATACCAGATGGATCAATGTCCACAGTTTGTTTCGCAGCCTGAGTAGGGGCGTCACGCATATCGCTTTCAAGGCCAGGCGTATCAGCAGCAACTTCGGAGAGACCACCAGTTTGACGTAAAACTACACCCTGGATGTAGAGTCCTAACAGTTTCAATTTTCGGGATAGCCGTTCATCCCTTTCAGTACCAATCTCCGGCAAATCGAAATGGAAAAAATGAGGTAATGATGTGACATTAATGATGCGGGAGTGGATTTCGTTCACTTTCTATGCCTCGTTTTGGAATAACTTTTTGACTTTTTATGAAAAAATGTGTAATTATGGATGTTCGGATCATAAAAATAAAATGTAAATTATTATTTTGTAACTGTTTTAAGCGCAATAAAATTTGGGCCTTCTTTTTCGTGTCCACTTCTTTCATAGTTTGGATGGGCCGCTTCCTGATGGGCCTATCTCTAATGGGCTGATGTACCATATGTCTGGGCCTATTTAAAATAACTAATAAACATTAAATGGGCCTCATTGTTGTAATTGGGCCGTTGGTCTGTTTACCAATTACAGCCCATTTATCCAGCTTAAACCTGCTCAGAAATCGAATTTATTAAGACACATAAATTCAATAAAACTGCATTTTTATTTAATCATAAAAATTTACATAAATATTTTCCCATTGCCAATCTTTTACATAATATGAAAGCTCGTCGAGTACAATGGTCAGTGCGAGACAATAATTTACAGGGCTAATAATCCCAAAGCTGGATAATTTGTTCGTCATCCTGCGTGCAATAAGCTGGATAAATACAGTCTCCGATAGGCTTTTACGACCACTGGAAGTCAGCCACGTATACATTGTTGCTGTAAACGTCCGGATTCCCAGTGCTTTCCGGAGGTTGTAATTGAATAGGCATTGTATCTTGTAGACCCCCTGATTGCCCGGTCTGGAGAGGTCTACTGCCTTGAACCACATCGGGTTCTTCAAAGTATCGTAAAAGACCCCTGACAGCGTCCTCTCTCTCCAATGTATGTGGTTCGACGCATCCGTTCGTATGGAATATCGAACAGCCGCATTGGAAGTGGAATATCTTCCTGCGTTGGGCCTTCTTCTTCGCATTACGATGCCTCTTCTTGACTGGTTCTGGTGAACAGGGGCTCGTTGACTGTATACAATTCTGCGTTTCGGATCGTCCACGCTTTGAGCCCGGCGTGTTCATGTTTTTCCAAAAACTCTTTGTAACGTGTCGTCCCCCGATTTCTTTATTAATCACACATCACGCTCCCCTCGCTAAATTACTTGTCGTCTAGGGCTTCCGCTCCGCGCCCAAAGACCGCATAGAATGATCTGACTATGCATCAAGATTATCAAATTGTTTTATATAATAATCTGGTTTATTCAGTTCATTTAATTAATGTTGTTGCCTAATGCCTAGTGTTGTCAACAAATGAAAAAGCTCCATTAACAAAACAATCTTGTAAACAAAATCTAGCATTGATATATTTATCCATATGATTTGTTTGACTACATAAGAGAGTCCTTCAAGCATCACAATCTATCAAAGGGTTCAATCTTTCAAAATGCTTATATGCAATCAAGACTCCATTTTACTTTTATAGCACTAATCATATAATAAATTAAAATTAACAAGCAATCTATTAAACTAGTTTAATTCGAATCCCGTAAAGCGCTTGCCCAGTAATTACCTGAACTAGTCAGAACCCAAAATAATAACAATAAATTTCAAGCAAACTATTAAATGGGTATGCATAAATTTCAATTTTAGGCAAAGAAAATTAAGAACAATACCATGTAACAATTAACAACAAACAAACAATCAATCAAATGGGTATACAAAAAATTCAATTGCCGGCAAAGAAAACTACGAAGAACAACATTATGTAAAACAATAAACAACAATCAAACACTTAAATGGGTATCCAAAAAATTCAAATCTAGACAAAGAAAGCCAGAAATTACCAACCAATAAGGCAAGGACTGAACAGTTTGGCTAACAGCGAGCCAGAGGACTCCATAAACCCAAAAAAGAAGCAAAAGCTCCGATCAAAGAACAATCCATGGGGAGAACTTGTTGCAGGCGATCCCAGGAAGGATTCCAACATTCTCACCAATATCGTTGGCGACTCCGAGCATTGTGAGTTGCTGTTGAGAGAAACCCAGAACAGATTTGAGAGAGTGAGAGTAGAGAGGGAAGTTGTAGGCGTTGCCAGATGCAATTTGGAGCCAAACAGCAGCTACAAGACCCACCATGGAGGTCTGGACCCGCCTTTGATGTGCACCATTGATGGGTTGTTGTTGAGCTTTCAAGAATCTCAGGGCTTGTTTGGTTTGTATTTGAGAAAAATGTTTTGAGATAAAAAGTACAAAAATTTGTTTGGTTTAATTATTTTTAAAAGATGTTTTAAAAAATTATTTTGAGACAGAATTTTGGAAAAAATGATTGATTTGATATATATAAGAGAGAGATTTGTTTGAAAAACTTGTAAACTAAATAAGTTTTGAAAAAAAAATTTGAAAAAATTTATTTGATTTGATTACTTTTAAATTTTATTTGTGAAAAATTTTTCTTAAATTTTTTTAAGAAACACAAATCAAACAAGGCCTCAGTTTTTGTACAGTGTGTTTGATCCAAGGTTCTGAAAAGTGGTTGCGGTCGCCATAACGGTAGCGGTGACGCGGTTGCGGTTGCGGGGTGTAAAGGCCGCAGTGTAACGGTTGCGGTTACCGGAACTGTGAATTTTTTTATTTTTCGCACAATTTGTAAAAAATTTACCGATACGCATATTTTTTTTTATAATCATATTTATTGGGTTTTAAAATAAATTTTGATAAATTTTTCATAATTTTTAAGTATGATCCAATATATTTCATTTTTAAATCACTAGAAAATGATTTTTTTTACATTTTATTTCAATAATTAATGACTTTATATGTTATAAATCCATATTACACTTGTGGAAAAAATTTCTTTTATTGGACTTAGATGTATAAAATTATTTTTAATTATTGTACTTGTAGAAGTATATGTACATTTTAACTCAAATAGTTTTTAAAAAGTATACATCCATAATGGAAGAACTTGACAAACTACATAACATCATAGCATAAATCACAAATAACAGATAGTACATTTTACACAATGTTACTACTAAAATTACATAATGTCACCACCAAAATGAGTGACGTGGTGCATCTTGAGATTCAGATTGTTGAGCTTGATTGTTGCTGCTACATTCACCCCACCAAAATGAGTGACGTGGTGCATCTTGGGAATCAGATTGTTGAACTTGATTGCTACTACCTTCATTCCATCCAATAGGAAATATATAAGTAAATGTGCTCATCATGTCATCTCTTTCTGTTTCGTGCATTGGGAGAGAAAATGGATACCTTGGCTGAAAAGGATCAACATACCCTTCTTGAGTTTGTTGATAATTTGGCAAACCGTATCCTAGAGGACCATGTTGTTGAGGGGGCTAAAGATAATTTTGTTGAGGTGGGTAAGGATAGCTCTGGCTATCAGTGCTATAGGATGGATAAGGGTGATATGGATAACTATGACTACTATCAGATGAATCAAGCTGTTGTTCTCTACTTCTTATTCTTCTTTCATCCCTACGGGTATCACTACCACGAAACCTCCTAGGTAGTTGGGGTAAAGGTGCAACAGGTTCTCCAATATCATAATGTTCCCCAACATCACATAATCCAAATCCTCCAATAAAATCTTCACTTCCTGCACCAAAACTAGTACCATCACTGCCATCACCACCATTGTCGCTGCCACCACCACCACCGTCACCGTGAGAAGTGCCATCACCAGCACCATCATCACCTCCTCCATCAGATGGTGTTAAACCACCACTATTATCACTTTGAGTTGGAGTAGGAGTTGAGCTTTGAGAAGTGCGTCGAGCTTGATATCTATGGGTGCCACCACCACCGTTTCCATCGCTGCCATCGCCATTGCTGTCGTCGTCGCCGCCACCACCACCATCATCTGAGACCAAATCTAGCCATTCAGAATTATCCACACCATCTAGTAAAGGATTTTCCCTTTCTTCTATCCATGGACTTATTGGATCATCTTCTTCAAATATGTAATCCAAGTTAATAGGATTAAAACTCCTATCAATCTCCTCTTGGCTGCTTCTTTTAACATGTCTCAACTTTAAGCTCATGTTATAGGTGATGAAGACTAATCTTTGAATTTTCTTATATTTCAATCTATTCCTTGTCTTCGTATGGATGAGACTAAAAGTACTCCAATTACGTTCACAGTGAGATGATGTGGTGGTTTGACTTAATACTTTCACAGCTATTTTTTGAAGTTCAGGAGCACAACTGCCATGAATAATCCACCACTCAGCTGCACAAAATTACATTACACTAGACATAAGTCAAAATATGATAGAAAATTATTTAAGTATTTATATATTGTAAATTTGTAATTTTGAAAATAAAACCTGGATTTGATTGTTTCCATGCTCTTTGTGCTGAAGGAGTGCCAAAAGTTTCCTGTTTATCTCGAAACAGCAACAACTACAATTTAGACAATCATTACAAGTAACATTTGCAAAAGTAGATTATTACTATTAAAATTTAAATAATTGGTACGTACTTGATTTGTTACTTTCACTTGAGCATTCATATCAGGCTCCAGTCTGGTAATGACTTTTTTAAGTCCATCCATCACTTCTCTTATCATTTCATTGGATGAGATAACACCATATTGGGATTGAGGATTTAAAAAATATCCTTCAAAAATAAGAAGACAATTAATAATTGTAAATAAATATACATTTTATAATTGAAATCGTAACACTTACCAGCCGCATGCAAATCTTGATGCAATTGAAAAGACCATCGAGTATCAATAATTTTCCAATAGTCGGTGTAGTAGCGACAATCTCTTTTAATTGCCAAATTTTGCTCTATCTATAGCTTCATGTATGAAACCCATTGTTGGCTTCTCATCCCCATTAACCAACCTCAATACTCTGACTAGGGGCTCATGAACTTTACAAAGTTTTGTTGCTTTCTGCCAAAACTCCTTTCCCAAAATAATTTTTTTCGCATTGTAAGGCTGCCCAGTCTTTGCCTTCCCCCATCTAGAATTCTTCACTCATCACTATTAAACATAGCTCTCAATTGTTGTTTATATCTAACAATACTCTCAATGGCAATAAAATTTGTAGCAAATCGAGTGATGGCAGGTCGAATCAATTCTCTACCTCCAGTGAATTTTCTCATTAAATCCAACACCCATCCACTATTATAAATGAAATTGGTGATGGTTTTACCATCTTCAATCACCTTTGCTACACTTTTCTTATTGGCTATGTCTTTTAGCATGAGATCGATACAATGTGCTGAACAAGCTGTCCAATATAAATGTTTCATTTTTCTCATTAGCATTTTACCGGCAGCATTCAGTGCAGGTTCATTATCAGTTACCACTTGAACAACGTATTGTTCTCCAATTTCATCAACAACTTTATCTAACAACCCAAAATAATATTCAGCAGTCCTACTAACAATATTAGAGGCATCAATTGATTTGTGAAATATAGTACCTCTATTGCAGTACACTAAGAAGTTGATGATGTGTTGCCGAGTTAGACTGCTCCAACCATCACACATGATGGATACACCTCTCTCTGCCCAAATTCCCTTGAATGATCCTATCCATTCTGTCATTTCATCATACTCCATGTCCAAATATACTTCAAAAACTTCATAAGCACTAGGACCCTTTACTCCTGGCCCTACTTCAGCAGCAACATCAAGCATGGGTTGTGTATACTCTGAATCAACTGCATTGAATGAAATACGATTATAGAGTATAAACTTGGACACTGCCCGTCCCAATCTCTCTTTTAGCTTCTGTAAATTCATTGTGGAGATTTTCGCTGCTTTGTACTCTTGCTCTTTTGGAGTTCTACATAGCATTGGGTTTAATCCAATTATGTCCACTTCCACCAGTTTCATGCACGGATTGTGATCGATGAAAAACATTAGCAATACCTGACCCTTTTGGCATTCTTTGAGCACTACCCCCTGCACCAGAACTACCACCTGCATCGTATTGTGATCCATGACCTGCAACACCTCGTCTAAATTGTTGCCTTTCCTCCCATTGTTGTTGTGAACGAATACTTGCTTGTCGAGCCCTAGTCATCTCTGGATCAGAGTCAAAGTCATCATCTCGAAGATCTACAAAATCTCCCCAAACTCGTTGAGCACCACTATTGTGTGGGCATAAAAATAGTGCGCCAGCTTTCTCGAAGCCATCATCAATACCAGGGCTAACTTTTCTAGCGGCAAATATCTCGTCTCAGCCGGTAACAAAGTTTTGCTGACATAAAAAATTGGGAGGTGCTTGATTCCTTCAGCCCGGACCAACACCGCACTGACTGCGTGCTGGGAGACGGCAAGGTAAAGGTAGAGTTCCTCACCCGGTTCTGGTGTTACCAACAGTGGCGGAGAAGACAGATATTCCTTGAGCTCGGCCAAAGCTCGGTCACACTCGTCGTCCCATGAGAACTTGGACTTCAATGCTTGAAAGAAAGGGCGGCAGCGATCTGATGACCGGCTTATAAATCGATTAAGCGCGGCGGCCATACCGGCCAGATGCTGCACGTCCTTAGCCGAGCTAGCACCAGAAGGAGATATAGGCCATCAGTAAACGAGGCGATCCAAATAACTCAAATCACACAGAACTCACTACTGACGAGATCCAATTAATTAGGTAGAAGCTGTAAAAGCACGCAGTGGAAGTCCACATCAACCCAGAAAGCAAATGTACAACGGAGGCAACTGTAAAATAATTTTAACAATATTTGTAATTAAGAAGTAAATTATTTTACTAGTAACAATATTTCAATCTACAATTAATCGCGTTAACACGATTTGTGGCGACATTCCCACACCAAAATAACAATATAATCTGCGTTTTTTACAATATTATATACGAGCAGTCTAAATTGACCGTAAACTATCGCGGAATTCGATACACTATTTTTTCCATTGTTGATAAATGTTTTTACAGCCTTGACCGGTAACAATTGGATATTTCATCATTTGATTGCGGCGCGATTTAAAACGGAGACACGCCGCAATACAACAAAACGGTCCTATTTCGTGCCCCTGACGCAAACAACCAGTTCGCGGGTCCACTGGACCACAGGAAAACATCTTCAAACTTGGCGTAATACGCAGGATTAGGAAACCGGTTCTAACCACAACGACAAATTCACATTGGCCATTGTCAAGTATACCATGGATCAATGTCCACTAGTTTGTTTCGCAGCCCTGAGTAGGGGCGTCACGCTATCGTTTTCAACCAGGCCAGGCGTATTCAGCAGCAACTTCGGAGAGACCTACAGTTTGAACGTTAAAATACTAACCCTGGAATGTAGAGTCCTAACAGTTTCAATTTTCGGGATATGCGTTCTCCCTTTTCAGTACCAATCTCCGGCAAATCGAAAGGAAAAAATGAGGTAATGATGTGACATTAATGAATTGCGGGAGTGGATTTCGCGTTCACTTTCTATGCCTCGTTTTGGAATAACTTTTTGACTTTTTATGAAAAAATGTGTAATTATGGATGTGGATCATAAAAATAAAATGTAAATATTTATTTTGTAACTGTTTTAAGCGCAATAAAATTTGGCCTTCTTTTCGTGTCCACTTCTTTCATAGTTTGGATGGGCCGCTTCCTGATGGGCCTATCTCTAATTGGGCTGATGTACCATATGTCTGGGCCTATTTAAAATAACTAATAAACATTAAATGGCCTCATTGTTGTTAATTGGGCCGTTGGTCTGTTACCATTACAGCCCATTTATCCAGCTTAAACCTGCTCGAAAATCGAATTTATAAAGACACATAAATCAATAAAACGGCATTTTTATTTAATCATAAAAATTTACATAAATATTTTCCCATTGCCAATCTTTTACATAATATGAAAGCTCGTCGAGTACAATGGTCAGTGCGAGACAATAATTTACAGGGCTAATAATCCAAAGCTGGAATAATTTTGTTCGTCATCCTGCGTGCAATAAGCTGGATAAATACAGTCTCCGATAGGCTTTTTACGACCACTGGAAGTCAGCCACGTATACATTGTTGCTGTAAACGTCCGGATCCCAGTGCTTTCCGGAGGTTGTAATTGAATAGGCATTGTATCTTGTAGACCCCCTGATTGCCCGGTCTGGAGAGGTCTACTGCCTTGAACCACATCGGGTTCTTCAAATATTCGTAAAAGACCCCTGACAGCGTCCTCTCTCTCCAATGTATGTGGTTCGACGCATCCGTTCGTTAGGAATATCGAACAGCCGCATTGGAAGTGGAATATCTTCTGCGTTGGGCCTTCTTCTTCGCATTACGATGCCTCTTCTTGACTGGTTCTGTGAACAGGGCTCGTTGACTGTATACAATTCTGCGTTTCGGATCGTCCAACGCTTTGAGCCCGGCGTGTTCATGTTTTTCCAAAAACTCTTTGTAACGTGTCCGTCCCCCGATTTCTTTATTAATCACACATCACGCTCCCTCGCTAATTACTTGTCGTCTAAGGGCTTTCCGCTCCGCGCCCAAAGACCGCATAGAATATCTGACTATGCATAAGATTATCAAATTGTTTTATATAATAATCTGGTTATTCAGTTCATTTAATTAATGTTGTTGCCTAATGCCTATGTTGTCAACAAATGAAAAAGCTCCATTAACAAAACAATCTTGTAACAAAATCTAGCATTGATATATTTATCCATATGATTGTTTGACTACATAAGAGAGTCTTCAAGCATCACAATCTATCAAAGGGTTTCAATCTTTCAAAATGCTTATATGCAATCAAGACTCCATTTACTTTTATAGCACTAATCATATAATAAATTAAAAATTAACAAGCATCTATTAAACTATTTAATTCGAATCCGTAAAGCGCTTGCCCGTAATTACCTGAACTAGTCAGAACCCAAAATCATAAAAATAAATTTCAAGCAAACTATTAATGGGTATGCATAAATTTCAAATTTTAGGCAAGAAAATAAGAACAATACCATGTAACAATTAACAACAAACAAACAATCAATCAAATGGGTATACAAAAAATTCAATTGCCGGCAAAAGAAAACTACGAAGAACAACATTATGTAAAACAATAACAACAATCAAACACTAAATGGGTATCCAAAAAATTCAATCTAGACAAAGAAAGCCAGAAATTACCAACCAATAAGGCAGAGGACTGAACATTTGGCTAACAGCGAGCCAGAGGACTCCATAAACCCAAAAAAGAAGCAAAACTCCGATCAAAGAACAATCCATGGGGAGAACTGTGGCAGGCGATCCCAGGAAGGATTCCAACATTCTCACCAATATCGTTGGCGACTCCGAGCATTGTGATTGCTGTGAGAGAAACCAGAACAGATTTGAGAGAGTGAGAGTAGAGAGGGAAGTTGTAGGCGTTGCCAGATGCAATTTGGAGCAAACAGCAGCTACAAACCCACCATGGAGGCTTGACCGCCTTTGATGTGCACCAT